TGCCAGGCAAATCCAGCGGGTTAACACCTGTCGAGGTGGTAGAAGTTTAATTTCTATGGTGTTTGGCAACCCCAGCGGCAGCAAAAGTACTTTTAATGCCGCTCGTACTTTTACTGCCGCTCAACCATTCACTTTCTCCCGAGCTTACCCCATTAGTTTGGAGAAAAAATAGCGTGTTACATACGGAGTAGAAGCACTTTTTTGTGCTTCAGTAGTATTGCAAGCCTCACTACGTTCGGCTCGCAAACCTACTACTTCCGCACAAAAAAGTGAAGCTTAGTGATGAGCAAATGCAAGACCAGGACCAAGACCGGGCTAGTCTTGGTCTTGGTCTTGCATATGCGGTCTTGGTCTTGGTCTTGCAGTCTAATAAGTGGTCTTGGTCTTGCAGCAAGACTCTTGCAAGTCTTGCATTTATTTGGTAGATTTTTACTGGAGAGAATTTTAACAAAGAAAATTTGAAAAAAAATCGTTTTTCATGCCACTTGAATAGATTGGGAGGGCGTGACAGGTTTTACCTACTGATTTTATCTCGCATGCCTTTTTAATGGTTAATAATCAACCCAGGAACAGTAAGGAAAAATATGATTTTCTCCGCCGCTGAAAGCCGCTATATGGGGAAAGTCGAATTTTCATTTGTGAAAAACTTTCGTGGTTTTTGGTGATCGGTAACTGCATGCCATTTAAACATAAGATAAAACTAACGTATTGAAGGTCTTGTAATGAAAGGCATGCACCCCGCAGTAGCGCAAATGCTTCAAAGAGTCACCTTAAGATGAAAAAAATAATGCTGATTTTTAATGTTTTGAAATTGCATGCCAATGGAAATATTTAATTTTCATCGAAATAAGTGGCAAGCGCCGCTCGGTGGGGGAAACCTGGAAAATTGTTGGAAAATTTTGTGAAAATTTTTAGTATCAGTCACTCGTATTCAGTGTGGCTAGTAATTCTTTGTTGCTTAGATCTTTATTTTCAGAACCCATTTTGGTTATTATAGGTGACAAAACTATGTAGCGCTAACTTGATGCGGTAGGACTATAAAAGTAAATGGATAATTCTGCTGGTTCGGAATCATTCTGCACATGCGCATATTTTGAAATACGTTTTCGTTTTTTCAGAATCGTAATCGAACTATAACCGAATTTTCGCGACGAACTACTTTCATGATTTCATGAACACAAACGCTTTCTCGAGAAACTAGTGACGTCATATTGAACGTAGTTCACCGGAAGCATGGACGCAGCTCCTAGCCAGCGTTCAAAACCATGAAGTCACAAGACGAACTATGGTTCGTTCTTGTATGAACCACATTCGTCGCGAAAATTCGGTTTATGTTGACAGTGTTTTGTTCTAGAACGGTTCTCTCAGTTCTGAAGGAAGAACTGTTTTAGAATTTTGTGATTTGCGGCATGTTTTGGTTTTTTGTTCCGAATCGGTTCAGAACTAGTATTAGAACAGTCCTCTATTATTTTTTATGTGCAAAAAGTTCTGCGCAATCCCAGAACCGTTTCAAATTTCGAACCAAAACAAAGCTACTATCTCTATACAAAATTGGCGAAACACTTATCTCATTCTCTCCTATACACACTTTAGCTTCAATTTTGTAAGATGGAATTATTTACCACTGAACTTCTACTAGGTTGGTGGAAGCCTCATCCTTTTTCGAACTATTTCCATTTCGTTTTCTGTCGGGGTTTCTAGTCGACGGTTTTTTGAAGCATGAACTTTGTTGGTGTTATAAAGAACCACATATAAAACAAGAACCTTTTTCTCTCTTCGGCATTGTACAACGAGAAGCAATATGACCTTCTTCAGGACAATAATTATAGCACTATGACATTTTTAGGGATAGCACCTTTATCGTTACTTGGATATCTAGGTTGTTGCACACTATTTCCATTACTTTGTATTGCCTGATGTTGTTTATAATATTATGTTCCTTTATTTATATTTATTTTTTATCTTCATTCGTATATCTTCGTCTTCGTTCATCATTGATTCCATCATATGCGAGTAGATCATGATATAAGTTATCAATGGAAATGGGAAAATAGCTATTTGTTGTTTCTGTTCGTCAAACATTATACCTAATTCTTTGCATAATAATTTAACCTTGTTATGAAAGTATATGCTCAAATCTTGTCTAGGTCCTTGTATTCTTAGCTTTCCATAAAAATGTTAAATTTATCTCGTAAACAAATGTATTACAAAATTAATCTCTAAACTTGTCCCACGTTAATAGACTGGTTCTTCTAGCTTCATACCAGCTGGCAGCAGCACCAACTAAATGTGTTCTCGCTGTGTGGAGTTTAAATTCTAATGGCCAATTGTGCAGCATTGCTTGAAAGTTCAGCAATGCTGCACGATTGGCCCTTCAATCCACGATTTACTTTGTACCAAATCAGTACCATTATAGATAGGTATTGTTTTATAAAAATCAGGCATAACTGTATATGTTTGTACTAGAGGTGGAATATAGGTTTACGTTGTACTATTTTTGACTAACATTTGTATAATTGTGGCACACTGAAGCAACAAATTGTTCATGGACATAATCAATGCATTTAAATCAATATTTGAAATAATATATTTTGGTTTGATTGTGAGTTGGAAGTTGGAGATGCATTATCTGTTACAGTACCAGTATTGTTCCTGGAATCTTGTTGGTCTGGTTCATCATCACCATCCATATTCTTTTCATTTTTTTTTGATGATAGCATTCGGGTACGATAAAAATTCTCAAATTCTGTTGCGTCGAATTTTTCCAAGACACTATTTCGTCGGTGTCTTATATTTCTTCCCAAAATAGTAGCCAACCCACTCAAGATTATCTCCTATAACCCATGAATCCTATCCGTTATCTCTATTTTTCGGCACTTTTAGGAATTATCCCACTTCTAAAATAACTGTGGCTGATTCTCAACTTGAACAGTCTCGAAATTAATTAAAACATATCACATCCATTCATTTTCCAATTTATTTCTCTTTCTTTTCAAATTGAGGACATTTTCCATGTCGTTCAAAAAACATAGGAGCATAATAATAAACTCTGCCCTGAAAACCATTTTTCAGCAACCCTGATACTGCAACCTACTGCACTGTTGTCAGCAACCCTTAAATATCTCCCAAATTCCGCGTTAGGGTGTTTCTGACAACCTCAAGACATGAAATAGGGATCTATTACAAGTTGGGAAATAAAGATCTACTACTACATTACTATAATTTTGAGCAGTGTAACGTTAGGGGTGTTACCGACTTTCTGAGTTCGGTGGACTAGAATGATGGGTTTGCCAATACAGATTTGGATGGGGTCATTATTAATGTCTTTTACAATTATCTTCAACAAGCAATAGAATTAAACACTTTACTGTGTAGACATAAAAATAGAAAAATTCCTAACTGGATGGATCCCAATCGAACTCTTTCATTCTTGAAAAAGAAAAATCTCACAGGAAATTAAAAAAAAAAAAAAAACGGTTTATCACAGAATTACATTAGTTTCTGAGATCTCACTAGGGACTAGATTTCGACATTATTTTCAAACATCCTACAAAAACTACAGTAATAATAGTGAACTTAATATGACAAATAAAAAGGACTTCTGGCATTACATCAAAAAAAGATAACAAGGCTTATGTTGTTGGTTGGTTGGATGACAATGAAAGTAGCTCTGTTTCACAGGCAGTTGAACTTTTTAAAAGCTTTTTCGCGGCTGTATATTCTGAATATCCAAACAACAACCTACATGGCACCCTGCCAGGGAACTCTTATAAAAATTTGTCCTCTATATTATAATTAGTGAAATGGATATGTATTACAAAAAATAGTGTATAAACAGGATAGTTTTTATTTTTCCTCTTCATCCATTATAGTCAATGGCAACAAAACCGTTGAATGCCACACCTGAACAGTCAGGATTTATCCATAGGGCTAATTTCTTGTAAGGACAATTCTTCGAAGGACCACTTGGCCTATAGCCAAGAAAGGAGTAGAAAGAAAACACTTACACTTATTCACTAATAGTTATAACTTTAATAATAATAAATTTTGTACAAGCTTTGCAATTCACAAAAGGAACAATTGTCAACAAAATCCGTGATTGCAAAGAAAACCACTCTACTTGTCTTGTAGACCAGAACAAACTTGTCGCTAAAGCAGACACTGGATTGAAGACTTCGTAGAAAATATATATCTAATATAGAAGTCAGAGAAAATGTGAGTAAAATAAAAGCCTGGAATAATTCTCCAGAGGCTTAACTGAGGAACTAACACTCAATTAACTAGCAATTTCGTACCACGATAAATTAATTATTGATTTTGTGCGAGAAACACGAGACTGTTTAGAGTTCTGCAAACGGCAACAACCCTTCTCGATCACTGAAATGGTACTGCCCGCCCTTACTGGCGTCTGCCTTTCTCTCCTTATCTGAAGATAAAGGTTGCATCATCATGCCAATAGTGTGATTTTAACAGGTTTTAACTTGTACCTTTAGGATACTACGCAGTTTGGAGAATTTTATAAATTTCTTTATTTTGAGAGAATAATTTTAATTTTAATAGGAATTTGAAATACGTGATTTCCAAACAAATAGAATCCTTGAACAGTGGGTAATGGGTTAGCTTGTGCCTTCCAATAATCCTCATAAATAACCATACATTCATTGTATCACATGTTTTAGCTAAATTTTCAGCAGATCTGTGTTGGCGGGTTATTTTCCAGACAGCTGGAAACTTAGCCATATAACCTCAGTCTCCAAAATATTAGTTTTTAATGCAATGACAATTTAGTTTGTGACACTTTGCCCCCCATATAAAGCATACTTTCGCATTCTACTATCATAAAGGGGGGTATCTATGCTCATGGTGGTAGCACAAGAAAAACACACAATCAAAACGAATACAGAAAGAGACAATAACCGAAACATAACACACGTTGGCGGCCTTTTTCATCGAAATTATTTATTTTCATTTTCAAAATAGGTACCTATATTTATTATTGTTCATTCGTACCTCAATGTTGATACCCTTACATGTTCCAGTAAAACAGAAACGTTAATTTGTATCTTGTAGAAATAATCTGGTTTAATCACAATCTGCTCTAGAATATTAATTTTTTTACCTGAGACTAAACTGGGGAAAATTGTTGGCACGGCTGTCTTAACGAGCTTCTTTTTCGACGGACCATAAAATTTGTCTTCGAAATGTATTTGACAAAGGCGATGACTCACATGAAGCTGATGTAGCTTTTGTAACAAATCTTCTCGATTACAGGCCACTGCCCAAGATCTTGCCCTAAAATATATATATTTTTTTTTAATTATTATGGTTGAATTTTTCAGACAAATATCTACGTCATTCCTTAGTAGTTGAATCAATTTACTCCAATGGTCTAATGACTCACCTTTCAGGATTCTTTGGAAATCTAAAGAAACTGTGTCCGGATAAATAACTTTTATTTCCGCAACCTTTTGCCGAGCAAACGTTATGACTTGGATGACGATCTCTCTGACACTCCATATTGGAAAGAAGTTAAAAAAAAACACAAACACGCCACACTTTATTTTAATAATAATCTCACTGCGCAACTGGTGAAATCGTAAAATGCTCTTCCGCCGACAATTATTATTACCTCGAGAATACTGATAAAACTAACTGTAACCGCTGACGCGCTACTACTGAACATCTTTCCGCCGTCGCCCGACGGTCGTGCGATCAGTGGTCGTGCGTGGCTTCCTCCGTGACCATCGATCGGATATATGTAGTAATAGAACTCAAGGACATTCAGTGACTCGAACATTGTTGAAATTTTTTCCGAGTAGGAATTTATAAATAAATGTTCGAGGGTTATTCGGATAGAATTTTTTTTACAAATTATAAAAACAAATATTGACCAACGTTATAGAGTAAAAACAGTCCATGGGATCTGTTTGCAGTATAATGTTGAAATGATTGTGTGATAAATTTTCATTCTGATTGTTTTGGGAAAGGAAAGTGGCTCTGTCTGATAAAAATAAACTTATGGAACATTTTCCGAAAAAAAGTGTATAGATCTAGGTAGGTACATATTTTTAAAAAATTTAAGGTTAGTTTCCATGCTGGTTATTAGGCAACCCAAACCACGTGGCATTCAAGATGGAACACAAAAAAATATATACTTTCTGCTTGATTTAATAGTTTAGGTACATAGTCAACAAATATTTTATTAAATAATCAAAATCAAAGCTGCAAGCGAAACTCTAAGCAAAACAATTTAAAATACGCATAAAAACATATTCAAAACAAACTTGCTTGGCCCCCACACGCCAAACTGAATTTTCCTTTTTGACAGATGGATTGGATTGCCTAATTGGATTGTTTTCGGGCATTTGTAACTTAGTGGAAACTGAAGGTTGTTGTCTTTCAATAGGAGGTTTAGGGCCATTTCCACCATGCCTTAAACTGACATTTCTGCATGTAAAAATGTCATTTTAGGGAATACTTATCGTTAGGGCTCCCCTAAAATGGTTGGTGGAAACGGCCCTTAGGCCCGGTTGTACAAAGAATGGTTCAACACAAGTTCTGTTGAACCGTCGTTCAATGTTGAACGTGGTGCAGAGTTTCGAGTGTTGTACCACTGCCGGTTTACCTGAACCATCAGTTGCAATGCCCACAATAAAAAGAAGAAAGAAAATAGGGGCAACCCAACCCATAACCTATCAAATTCATTGTTTATTTTTTGTGTTTTCTTGTTTACTATTTATTTAATTTTAATTTTCATATTTTTTTTCACACAGGACAGCGGACAGGTCACAGATGCATAATTTCATCTATGATAAATTACACTGCTTGTTTCTCTAAACTGAATCTGTCCTTGAATTATTCTTTATCATTACAAATGTTCAAATGATATGTTCGCTGTTCGATTTCTGAATATCTGTGGGGCTCGAGAAAGTATACATAATTTATATGTAACATAAAATTAAGTTATTTTTAAAAATCTTCTTCATCTGTAATATCTTCCCACAGTTCCCACTCAAGATCCATTTTCAATTAAATATAAAATAACGAATATCCACTTGAAAAAAAATATATATTCAAAAGCCATGGTGATCCCTTATCAAAAAACAAACAAAACATAGGAGAGTCAGGTTAGAAAAACCCAAAAAAGACCTGAACTCCCCTTGAACGCCCAAATTCGGACGTTCAAGATCAACCTCAGTTCACACTCTGAACCGACCATGTACAACGAGTTTTTTCCTTTGAACCACTAGTCAGTGTGAACTTCGGTTGAACGTCCGTTGTACAACCGGGCCTTAGTCAGAGCCGGCTCCAGACCCGTGCAGCCTATGCCCCTGCACGGGGCGGCAAAATCGAAGGGCGGCAAAAATTTCAGGGGAATTGTTGGGTAAAAAAAAAACCCACTAAGAATTACAATAGTTTTTTTCACGTGGCTCCGGTTTAACTAACCGGGTTACAAAACGGTTAGAGAAATGACATACCGTTTTCTAACCCGGTTACGTGACGTGATGGATACTTACAACTCGAATTTGAGCGGTATGTTGCGGTTTGTTAAACCGGAGCCACGTGAAAAGGGTTAATAGCTTCATGATTTATTTCATCAATTATCGCGTTCGCCTATCACTGCCAGACTTGGACTCGGTACTCATTGCCACAAACAATTTGAGCACAGTAGTCCTAAGGACTGAATAAGAAGTATTTTTGCGCAGTTTCAGAATGGTTCGCGTACAGTTCGGAAAATGAGAACTCGAAAACATCTATCGCAAGCACAGTTTCACGCGTCCGCTAAGCGATTTGCAGCTTATATTTTGGTGTTATTTGGGTTGATTTCAGTGTTGCCAACTCTGAACCAAGACTATCCATTAGAAAAGAGATTTAAATCCACTAAAATCCACTAGGAGAAAAAAATGGCGTGGAAAATCCACTACATTTTTCTCCCTCTTTTTTGAAATTTTTAGCACTCTTATCTTTTTATTGTTTAATATTCTAAAAAATGTGGATATTTAATGCCATCTAGATATCATCTACCATGTTGTGTTGTGTTAGTTACTTTTCTTTGTTTCTTAGATTATAGGCAATTGTTCGCGAGGATAATCAAGCATACTCGAGTATGCTAGGTTATGTGATGTGTCAATTGTGTCATACTCTCCTAACTCCCCCACCATCAAGTTCTGGGATACTCGAGGATCAAGAACACTTAATTTCTTCTGAGAGAACAGACCAAAAATCACCTTTTCTACATTTAAAATCGACGAAAAAATTAACTCACTAGCACAGCCAGAATCGCAAGAATTCCATTGAGGTCTGCGAGTGACGTCATTAGTCTAAGCCGCTGATCGTGACGTTACTCGCAGGCCCAGATTTTGATGGAGAGGGAGTTGGGAGAGTATGACGCAATCCTACACATCACATAACCCAGCATACTCGATTATGCTTGAATATCATTTTATCCTCGCGAAAAATTGCCTTATGATACAGCAACATGTTTATAAAAGCATGAAAGCCGGGATTGCTTGACTTGAAGTTTAAAAGTGATAATGATGACAGTTTGACATAAAAGCATCATTGACAATATTGACATACCTATGAGAAGCCCACAAAAAAAAAATATGTCAAGGATGATATATACTACTACTGCAGGATGGCCTATCTCATAAGGCCTCTGTGTAACAAATCCCCCCCACGCCAAATCACCATTTGTGACGTAGGCAGCATGTTATTTCTTGGCTTGATGTAGGCTGTTTAAACAGTTGACGACTTAGTTATGACGTCCAAAATAGTGAAAATATGGCGGCGATTACCAAAAAAGAGGCCGATCAGCCATCCTGTAGGTGTCCTTGAAAATATGCTATCTTCTGTAAATTAACAGGAATCCTATACAAATACAAATACGTTATTTAGAAATTTTAAAAAGTAATCGAAAACTAATGGCTAATGGAAGCGAAGTATCACTAAAAATTCACTAGAAACCGTGGATTCTATTCCCATTAAAATTACCACAATATTGGAATTTCCTGAAACCATTCGACTAGACGACTTTCAAATCCACTGGAACTAGTGAAAATTCTACCGAGTTGGCAACACTGGTCGATTTCTCAAATAGCGAATCACCTCCAGGTTGGCTTTAACTTTAGGGTAAACGTACGTGTCTGCAATTTTAACCCTTGAATTATGCTTAATTCCTGATGAGAACTACAAACTAGGCAAGTAATCGGTATAGAGGAGCGGCAAAAATATGTTTTGCACGGGGCGCCGAAATGTCTGGAGCCGGCCCTGTCCTTAGTACTAATTACACAGCTTGATGAAGTGCTTTGCTTTAGCATCTTAAAATATAAATTTAATAAAGGAAAAATGAAATGCAAAAATATAAAACTTTAGGTTACCTTTCCAAAATATAGAGACGGCATTTTTTCTCAGTAATTGTCTTTCGCCACTTAAATACAAATCGTGTTTATAAAAATGTTTTTCACACAAACGTCTATTTATCAAAGAATTTTCATCCATTAAAAATATTTCAGCATTGCCACAGTTTTGTACCCATTGACTAAGGATGACGGGCTTCGATACCGGAAATTTAAAAAAGCTCATCAAATTATCTGACTTTTTTCTTTTATTGTTGCATCCAACATACGCACACTCTATTTTCTTTGTAGACATACCTAACAGTTTCACAATACGTTTCAGACCGAGACGACTCTGGGATTCATCCGACCGATCGACTGAAAACCAAACCTCTGCCTTGCAAACGAAACGACTGACTGGCGACTGGTAGTATACAACACCGAGCAAAATCTCGGACACCCTAGCTAGGGCTTATGTTACGATTTTGCCCATAGTGTAGTTACACAGTCAATGGAAATTAAATAGGCTTCCTAGGGGCCTGTCTCAAAGTCACAAGCTACATTGTTGGTATATTATTATCATCTCCGGATCTACAGGTTAGCATTAGTAGTAATATAATAATTTTCATAATAATAGTATTAGTATAATACATAGCAGTAGTTGTACTTGTTAGAGTCCTCCTTCCCTTGAGAATCTAGTTTATGTAGAGAAGACTTTGTCAAACAGAAATACTCTGAGTCTCTTAGTATCTAGGAATTGTGATAGTGATAATCACTCTTTTTAAGTCAGTCCAGACAAAAAAAACTTGCAAGCTAATATATGTCGTGGAAGCTAGCCACAGAATCAGAAACGAAAATCAAATTTTTACAGTCGTCCAAATAAGTAGTGCAAATTAATATGTGTAATTATAAATAGTAGGTAATTATTAGCTTTGGTGGTCAAAATTTAGAATA